GTCAAAACCACCTCAATGAAAGCAAAGATAGAATTTCAGACCTCAAAGACAGGATTGCAGCTAGTGAACAGGAAAGGCAATATCTTTAAAAAATAACAAGCAACCAGGAAATAACAATTCAACAGCTGCAAGATGATGCAAAGCAAAACAATATACGATTGATAGGGATAAATGAAAAAGAAGAGGACAACATAAAAGATGTCAAGAGGATATTTAGAGATGTAATAACTGAAAATTTCCCAAACATGAGAACAAAATCTGACATCAGGATCAGTGAAGCACATAGAACTCCAAATAGTCATAGCCAAAATAGAACTACACACAGACATATAATAATCACCATCCCAGAAAGCCAACATAAGAATAGAATATTAAAAACTGTCAGAGTGAAAAGACAGATCATCTATAAAGGAAAACCTATCAGAATCACAGTAGACTTCTCAGCACAAACAATAAAGTCAAGAAGAGCATAGATTGAAGTGTTCCAGATCCTAAAGGAAAATGATTTCCAACCTAGAAATAATGTAACCTGCAAAACTGTCCTTCAAAATGGATGGAGAAATGAGATACTTCCATGACAAAGAACACCTGAAGAACTTCATGATCACCAAGCCAACCCCACTAAGAATACTGAAAGACAGTTTAAATGCACTTAGGAAAAAATCAGTAAGCAAAGCAGACAATTAAACAGAACTGAAAGATAAAGATTCACAGCAGAAAGATAACATGTGAAAGATAAACCAAGATATAACAGTTATAACCATTAATGTAAATGGTCTCAGTGCACCAAGTTAAAAAAAAAACAGACTGGCAGAATGGATCAAGAAGCAGCATCCAACCATATTGTGTCTATAAGAAGCCCATCTAATCCAAAAGGATACTCACAGACTGAAAGACAAAGGATGGAAAACAATACTTCATGCAACAGGAACACCCCCAAAAGTGAGGGTAGCTATTCTGTTTGCAGAAAATGTGAATTTCCAGCCAATAATGATCAGAAGCAATAAAGAAGGTCATTATATACTGTTTAGGGGAAAACTTCAAGAGGAAGAGATAACAATCTTAAATATATATGCACCAAATTCCAGAGAACCCAGTTATATAAAGTATTTTAAAAATGTACAACCAAATTAGCAGTAACACAGTTATAACAGGAAACCTTAACACACCATTGACACCAAGGGACAGATCAAGCAGACAGAAAATCAGCAAAGAATTAACAGAACTTAATCAAACATGTGGACAAATGGACTTGATAAAAATATGCAGTGTGCTCAACCCAACAACATCAGAATACAAATTCTTCTCAGCAGTACATAGACATTTTCTAAAATAGATCATATATTAGACAACATAACATATTTAAATAAATGCAAGAGAGTTGAAATTATCCCATGTATGTTATCAGATCATCTCACCATGAAATTAGAAATTAATGATAAAAGATACAGCACAAATCCCACAAACACATAGAAACTGAATAACACACTGTTGAGTAATCAGCAGGTCACAGGAGAAATAAAAGAAGAAATTAAGCAATACCTACAAGCAAACAAAAATACAAATACAATTTACAGGAATCTGTGGGATACAATGAAAGCTATCCTCAAAGGGAAATTTATTGCACTGAGTTCCAATATCAGGAAAATAGAATGAATAAAAATAAATAACCTGATGCTACACCTCAAACATCTAGAAAAAGAAAATCAAGTCAAGCCCAAAGCCAAAAATGGGAGGACATTATAAAAATCAGGGCAGAAATTAATACTAAGAAAACAATCCAAAGAATCAATGAATCAAAGAGTTGGGTTTTGAAAGAATAAATAAAACTGATAAGTCCCTAGCCAACCTTATTAAAAAAGGGAAGAAAAAGCTCAAATTCATGTAATAAGGAATGAAAAAGGTAAAATCACTACAGACTCTGTAGAAATGCAGAATATCATCAGCACCTATTTTGAACACCTCTACTCTCATAGATTTGATAACACAGAAGAAATAGATAGATTCCAAGAAACATATGAAGTATCAAAGCTAGGTCAAGAAGATGTAAAACTGCTGAATAACCCAATATCTGTTAATGAAATTGAAAATGTAATTAATCCCTTACCTACAAAGTAGGGCCCAGGCCCAGATGGATTCACTGAAGAATTCTACAAGAAATACAAAGAAAACATACTGCCAACACTCCTCAAACTCTTCAATGAAATTGAAAGGGAAGCAATCCTTCCTAAGTCATTCTTGGAAGCAAATATTACTCTACTGCCAAAACCTGAGAAAGATCCAAATAAAAAAGAGAACTACAGGCCTATCTCCTTAATGAAAAGAGATGCAAAAATCCTCAATAAAATATTGGCAAATAGGATGCAGCAAATCATTAAAAGGATTACACACCATGGCCAAGTGGGATTCATCCCAGGAATGCAGGAATGGTTCAACATATGTAAATCAATAAATGTAACCCACAATATCAATAAAACCAAATGTAAGAATCACATGATCATTTCTATAGATGCAAAAAGTCTTTTGATAAGGTCCAACACTTATTTATGATAAGAACTTTACAGAAAATTTGAATAGATGGTCTTTACCTCAATATAATAAAGGCCATCTATCACAAACCAACATCCAGTATCATAACAATGTCCAAAAACTAACGGCCTTTACCTTCAAATCAGGCATAAGACAAGGATGTCCCTTATCAATGCTCTTATTCAATATAGTATTGGAAATACTAGCCAGAGTAATTCGACAAGAGAGAGAAATAAAAGGGATAGGAAAAGAGGAACAAAATTATCATTATTTGCAGACCACATGTTACTCTACATAGAAGACTCCAAAAACTCCATTGAAAGACACTTAGATATAATAAATAAATTCAGCAATATAGCTGGAACAAAATCAATGCTCAAAATCAATAGCATTTCTATACACTAAGAACAAAATTATGGACAGAGAAATTAGAGAACCACACCCTTCAAATTAACATCTAAAAATTAAAAGAGTTAGGAATTACTCTCTTGAAAGAAGTGAAAGACCTATACAGGGAATAATATAATATACTGAAAAAAGAAATAGAAGACAATCTCAGAAAATGGAGGGACATCCCTTGCTCATGTATAAGGAGAATAAGTATTGTGAAAATGGCCATTCTCCCAAAACTTTTATACAGATTCAATGCAATCCCAATGAAAATACCATCCATATACCTCACAGACCTAGAGAAATCACTCCTAAAATTCATCTGATACCTAGATATATACCTAGATATCTCGAATAGCAAAGGCAATTCCAGGAAACAAAGGCAAGGCAAGAGGCATCACAATTCCTAACTTGAAATTACACTACAAAACTACTGTAATAAAATCAACTTGGTACTGGAATAAAAACAGATCTGAAGATCAATGGAATACACTAAAAGATACAACCACAACTACAAACACACTCAACCACCTTATCTTTGATAAAAAGGCCAAACATGTTAACTGGAATAACGATAGTCTCTTTAATAAATGGTGCCTGAAAAACTGGCTCTCCATATGCAGAAAACTAAAACTAGCCCCATGCCTATCACCATATACTAAATTAATATCTAAATGGATCAAAGATTTGAATATTAAAACAGAAACACTAAATCTGTTAGAAGACAAAGTAGGTAAACATCTTGAAGACATAGGGGAGGTAGAGAATTCATGCACAGGAATCAAACTGCATGGGAAGCACTTCCCAGAATCAATAACTTGGATCACCTCTTATTAAAAAATTTATGCATGTCAAAAGAAATCTCTAGCATAGTGACAAGAAAACCCACAAAATGGGAAAAAATCTTAGTGAACTGTCCCTCAGACAAAGGATTTCTGTCTAATATATATAAAGAATTAAAAATTCAGACCCCTTAAATTCAAAGATCCAATCTAAAAATGGGCTTCTGAGATGAATACACAATTCTCAGATGAAGATATACAAAGGCAAATAAATACATGGAAAAATGATCTTCATCATTAGTCATTAGAGAAATGCAAATTAAAACAACACGGAGATAACATCACACTCCTGAAAGAATAGCCAGGATCAAGAAAACTACTAACAAAAATATTGGAGAGGCTGCGGGGAAAAAGGAACTCTCCTGCACTGTTTGTGGGAGTGTAGACTGGTGCAGCCACTGTGGAGGTCCGTCTGGAGATTCCTCAGAAAAGCTGGGAGTGGGGGTCCCATTCCACTCAGCTATCTACTTCTGGGCATATTCCCAGAACTGAAAATATCATACTACAATGATATATGTACACCCATGTTTATAGCAACACAATTTGTAATAGCCAGATCTTGGAAACAACTTAAGTGTCCATCAATTGAGGAACGGATAAAAAAGATGTGGTATTTTTATATAATAGAGTACTACTCAGCTGTAAAGAATGATCACATATTTGCTAATAAATTGGTGCAACTTGGGACCATAATCTTAAGCGAAATAAATCAAACTCACATGAATAAATACCATAGTGTATTTATTCCCTAGTGTAAGAAATAGTGAAAAAAAGAGAAATAGTAAGTGTTCATAAGAGTTTATGGTAATCATGATTCCCCTTTACATTGTTTTGAGGCCTTATAATAATCACGTTGGTTAGGTGGAATGGGTTTGCCATTGTTTGTTTGATTTTATTAACTGTGATGGTATGAACAGCTAATTTGAAGGAAATAAGTCATTATAATAGCAGGTACTGGTATAATATCATCCTGCTCTGAAGTCCTACCATGCTTTTGCTCTTCTTTTTCCATTGGCTCTATCATGATGTACCTTGTTGGATTGTATTACATGTGAAAGTATAAACAAATTTTCTGTGGAACATGAGATAATAGAGTAGCCATTGTTTGTTTTCTGTTATTTGGTTCTGAATGCCCTGTAATACTCTTGTTCTCTTGGATGTTTTTATACTATTTTGTTATGTTTGATACTATTGTATATGAAGTTATATTCAACTATTTCAAAGAAAGAGACATTGTGGATTAACTATTAATTACGGGTTGTCTTCTAGTGAAATTCTACTTTGCTTACATTATTCTGTTCTGATCTGCTTTGGTATGTCCTCTTTTGTCTTAATTCTTTAAAATTAAAAAAAATCCCGCTTTCCAAACAGGATCTTTTCGGATTTTGGGTCTGAAAGTCATAAGATTACACTGGTTGAGGTCACAGGAAGATGAGGTGTCCTGCATAAGGAAAATGTAATGATCCTCTTTGTTTCCCTGCCAAGGAGATATAGATTGAAAACCCCAATGTCTATAAAAATATTCTGTCTCTATGGACTGTGAACACCTACTAGTGTGATCAGAGGCTGGCTGTTGATTTGGGGGGCAAAGATACCAACCAGTGGACTGTAATTTCTTTTGACTATGTAGGTCCCTGCAAGACCTAGTTGGTTTCTCTTCCATTAGCAACCAATCACGCAGCAGGGTATGCAGACCAAACAACATTCTCTTCTGTCTAATTTTTGCTGGGAGGTCATTTAATAGGGCACATAAATTTATCTTAATTATCCCATGGACAATAGTGTTGACTATCAATAATTCACCAATGAAATAGTAATTTTCCAACTTCCAAACAGTGGATTATGAGGTATCTCCTTGAGGTCTCCATAAGGAACAACACAGAAGTACAAGATTATCAGATATATTTGGCAATTTTAAGCTTTAAAGAATCCTTGGAGAATACAACAGTCCACTCATCTGTAGGTTGATCACTGGCAGAGGACAGAACCGACTTGAAGTGAGAATGATGAATCCAGGCAGGCTTTCCAGCAACTTTGACCACAGTTGGAGTGCTGAGGACCATGGTGTAAGGGCCTTCCCACCATGGTTCAAGAGATTCACGGTGATGTCTCTTGATGAGGACTAGTATCCCAGGTTCCTCTGCAGGGTATTCATTTTCAGAGTGGACTGCAGGCAGAGGATGTTGTTGTCGGAATACTCAGTGGATGGAAGTTAGTACTGGCTTGAGGGCCTGGAGGGACTTAATGAGATCTTGATTAGCCAAATCAGCTAATTTTTTCCTCAGAAATCTTAGGAATAAGAGGAGGAGGTCTCCCACATAGAGCTTTAAAAGTGGAAATACCTCCAACATAGAGAGTACATTGTGCACACAAGAGGGCAAAAGGAAGGAGACTCACACAGTTCATGCCAGTTTCCAATTCCATCTTAGTTATTACCATTTTTAAGGTCTGGTTCATCCTTTCTAATTTTCCTGAACTTTGAGGTTGGTAAGAGCAATGGAGCTTCCAATTGATCTTCAAATCTTGGGTTAATTTTTGAGTTATCTGCACTATAAAAGCTGGGCCTTTGTCAGACCCCATGGATAAAGTGAGGCTGATTCATGGGACAACCTTATATAAAAGCTTTTTGACTACTATCAGAGCTGACTCAGATTTAGATGGAAAGTCTTTGACCCAACTAGTGAAAGTATCAATCATTACTAGCAAATACTTATACCTTTGAAATCCAGGCTTCCCCATCTCTGTAAAGTCTACTTCCCAATATTCTCCAGCCCTAGTCCCACAATAATGAGTGGTTTCCATTTGTTGCAGTCGCTTTGGGTTCACCAGCTGGCACTGAGGGTACCTATGGCTCACAGACTGAGTAAGCTTTGATAACTGAGGGATAAAGAAATGATCTCATAAAAGGGTAGAGAGTTTTGATTCTCCTATGTGAATTGACCAATGAGCTTGTTGCATTAAGTTCTCATCCCAAGCTCTCAGGGAGGAGAACTCACTTATCACGCAGTTGGTTCAAGCCCCCAGGGATTCAGGCTTCCCTTGGAGTTGAGTTACCAAAGGCAAGTCATTTTGAGTGTAAAAGGGCTCTGACAGAGTAGGTGTAATCAGCCACAATGTCGGGGCTGTCTTCAATCCCCACTAATTTTGTGGCCACTTTTCCAGCAGTGGTGTCTGCCAGATTGTTTCCTCATGTAACAGGATCATCTCCTACTTGATGGGCTTTGCAGTGGATAATAGCCACCTTCCTTGGCATTCAAATGGCAGCCAACAAATCCAAAGTTTGGGGAGCATTTTTGATCTTTTGGCCCCCATAAGTCAATAAACCTTGTTCCTGATAAATGGTCCCATGAACATTGGCAGTAGCTAATACTTATCTTTTCCTTCTGACAACTTGAGGGCCTTAATAAGAGCTATGTGTTCAGCTCATTGAGCTTATGTCCCTGGCTCCAAGGTTTGTTCCCATAGAATCTGAGAGTCTGATGGCACCCCCCATGACCCGCTTACCTTGATAGATGTAACTACTTCCATCAGAGAAATATGATGGAATTCTGGGTAGCAGCTCATGCATCAAATCTGGTTTGAAGTCCTGTGAGGTGATCAATGACCTCAATATAATTGTGAAGAGGCAAGTAGGGGTCATCATCAGGCAGCAGGGCAGCATGATTTAAGGCTGCTCTTTCCTTAAAACTGATAATAGTTGGATCCAGGAGCAGTGCCTGATAGTGCATAACTCAGGTGTTAGACAGCAGTCAATCTGGCGGAGCCTTAATAAGTTTCCAGTGAATGAGAGGAGACAATTAAGCATTTTGTCCAAATGTCAACTTTTGGGCCTCTCTCACGAGGAGAGCCACTGAGGCAATCACCTGCAAGCAAGGCAGCTACCTGACTGCCACAGTTTCAAATCTCTTTAAAAGATAGGCAAAAGGCCTTTGCCATAGTCCTAAACTCTGGGTCAGTATTCCTTTTTTTATTCCTCATTTTTCATCAACTTAGAGGGAAAATGGTTTTTGCAAATTTGGCAGAGCCAGAGCTGGAGCTTCTGTTAAGGCTGATTTCAGTTGCCTAAAGGCCTGGTCTTGTAATTCTGACCACTCTAGAGGGTCTTGAGTGGCTCCTCTCTATGAGTCATAAAGTGACTGGGTTATTGCAGCAAAGCTCATAATCCAAAGCCTAAAATAACATATGGCTCCCAAAAATTCTCATACCTGATTCTTAGTTACAGAGATTCGGATCTGCCAGACAGCTTGTATCCACTGAGAGAAAAGAGTCCACTTTCCTTCATGGATTTGGTAACCTAAGTAGGTTACGTGCTTTTGGCATAGCTGAGCCTTTTTAGCTGAGATCTTATAGCCCAACCTGTCTAGAGTCCTTAAGGTGTCACTTAGGTGTCACTTGCACAACTTTCATATGAATCTGTTGCCACCAGAATGTCATATCTGGGTAGTCTCTCTGAAACCCAAAAGGTCTCTGGCCAAAGCCTCATCAAAAAGAGTGGGCAACTTTTTAAAACCTTGTGGTATGCATGTTCAAGTCAATTGTTCTGATGTTCCTGTAGTGGGGTCAGTCAATTGAAAGGCAAAGGTATGTTGACTTACTAGAGCAATGGGGAGAGTGAAGAAGGCATCTTTCAAATCCAGTACTGAGTACCAGATCTCTCAGGGCTCAAGAGGCTCAATAAAGTATAGGGGTTAGGTACAGTAGGATGGAGAGTTACAACTCTTTTGTTTACTTCCCTGAGATCTTGCACCAGCCAGTAATCCTAGGTGCCCAGCTTCTGAACAGGCTGCAAGGGGGTATTCCAGGGAGAGACACAAGATTTTAATATACCATGTTCTTTTAACCTTAGTATATGTCTGGCTATGCCTTGTAGTGCATTCAGACTCAGGATATTGCTTGAGCCGAATAGGAAGTGCTTGAGGTATAAGCTCAGTCACCAAAGGGATTTGGTTCACTGCCAGACTGGAAGGATTATTCTGTCCAAACCCCAGGGATTTTCTGTGTCCAGCAGTGCAATAGCTCATTGTCATTTAAACCTTTAGGATTTTACAATAATAAATGTTCTATACCCTCAGGATATAGGGCAAGGACCTTGGCGCCAAGGAATTCAGTTGAGCCATTGGCCATTTGCATTGTTGGTGTGGCTGTTTCAAAACTGAGATGAACTTTTAGTTTACACAAGAGGTCTCAGCTTAGAAAGGGATCTAGGCATTCTGGGATGCAGAAGAATTCATGAGAGATAGTCTTTTGTCCTGGTTGGGCTATCTGAGCTTGAAACTTCGGATATATCTTTGTGGTGCCAGTGGCTCCTAATACTTTTAATTTCTTTCCTGTAGTGGTTCCTATGAGCCAAGTCAGAACTGAATGAGCAGCTCTGGAGTCCACTAAGAAATCAATTGATTGGCCTGCACAGTTAGAGTTAGCCTGGGCTGGGGGGGGGGCATGAGAGCCCTGACTTCCCTAATCACGGGACAATAGAGCCTTGGTTTCCATTTCCAGTTTGGCCTTCAGCTTGGGGCAATGCTTTCACCAGTGTCCCATCTCCTTACAGTAGGCACATTGATTTTTTATCTATAGGTGGGTAACACTTTGCATTTGTTTTGGTAACTCTCTCAGTCAATACTTCTAATACCTTTGTCAATTTTTGATGTTTGGGATCTTCACGGTTGTTGATTACCTTCTGAGCTATTTCTGATCTGTCTAAGAGGCATTCCCTCAAATCCCTCAAGCCTTTGCAATTTTCATTTAATGTTTGGGCCAACTGAGTTACAAGGCAATATTAATGGCTCTTGCATTTTCAGGTGCCACTGAATCTATAGGGGTATAAATGCAATAGGCCTTCTGTAGCCTTTCCAGAAACCCCGAGGGAGACTCATTAGCCAATTGCCTTACCTCTGAGACCTTGGACAAATTGGTGGGTTTTCTGGCAGTGCCTTTAAGGGCTTCTAGAAACAACTGGTGATACTAAACAAGAGCCTCCTTACCTTCAGTGTGTTAGGATTCCAATCAGGTCGGGACAAAGGAAAATCATGGTTCAGGCATTCAGGATCAGAGGATGAGTTCCCATCAGGATCACACACCACTTTTCATCTTAACGTGTGGATGCGTTCTCTTTCCTGCACCATCAACAACACTGCAAAATCTGCTAACAATCATCCCAAGGGGGATGATGGGTGGAAAAGACTGATTCTAAAAGAGAAATAATACCTTGAGGATCCTTAGAAAAAGGTTTTTTGTTTTGTTTTGTTTTGTTTTGTGTTTTTGTTTCCATTGGTAAAGTTTAGAAGTAGAAAATGGGACATAGGTAAATACTGGGCTGAGGGATCTTCACATTTAGGGATCTCATGAAGAGGAAGAAGGGTGGGAGTTGAGGTGGAGGAATTAGGGGATTCCAAATGCTAATAACTTCTGGTTTGGATAGGGCTAGGAAGGTGAGAAGGGGGTACTGGTTCAGGAGGAGCAGGAATTGGTGCCAAGGGTCAGTAAGGCCATGGCAGAGGTCCTTCCTCCTTGCTTGGAAGAGTCGTTCACAAGTCAGGCTCAGGTTTTGGTTTCATTTTCATAGGTGCCAGGAGACAGTGGTTTCCAAATTGAAGCTCAGATGCCTTGAGAAACTTTTTAAGCCAAGAAGGAGGATCACAAATGAGATCATTCCAAATTTGAATATACACAATTTGGTCAGGGTGGGTTGGGGATCCAAAGACATATTGTCGGATGGCATGAGCAGTGCAGAAATTAAAACTACCTGCTGAGGGCCAGTTGGGAACCACAGCAGGCCATTCAAGCTCACAGAAATTTCAGAGCTTCCCAGAATTTTGTGGTTCTACATATGTCCAGGCTTGATCCTTGAAATCTCTGAAATGATTACGAACCAAAGTAAGGGGAGACAAAGGCTCTGATGATGATGCCTGACCCATAGTTATCAATAACTGGTCAATGACAATAACACAACACAAGGCACCAGAGAAGACAAGAAAAACGCAAACACACACACACAAAGACTTGTTGATTCACAGTTGTCTGGCAACCTATAGCAAAATAATTTTCATTATAACCCTGAAGCCAAGAAACCACATGGGTGCAACATTAGTTTAAGAGAAATAAAAGAAACCTGAATGTTAGTACTGAGGTAATAGATTCAAACAGGCAAATGGCTCCACAGTGTAAATATACCAAGAACAAAACCAATTAGGCCAAATTCCCGAATCACTAATGTGCTAGAAACCTTTTCTTGGAGGGTGTCCCACTCCAGGGCAGAAGGAGCACCAGGCTCATCTGCAACTCCAAACATGTGCACTTAAATTACAAATAAAAAAGATCCAAATACTTACAGATGTTTGAAGCCAATCATTTGGTGAAACATAATGTGGGGAGTGAGTCCCCATTCAATCCAGCATGAGCCCCCAAATGTTGTACCCCAAAAATGAGCCCTGAAATGTTGTCCAAAAAACAGGGCAAGACATCTTTTAAAAAGAAAAAGAGTGCTTTTATTTAAACTGACACCAGCAACACAGTGCAGATTGAGTTTGTAAAGCTGTGTAACTGGGTTAAAATTTGGACAGACTTTTATAGCCCATTAACTGCAAAGTACATAGTGAGCAGGAATGAGGAAGGCCTTTGTTCCCCTTTGCTTGAGGTCAGAGATGTTTCATAGCCAGTGGTTAGCCCTTTTCTTCCTTAAAAGAATTCACAGCACTTGGTCTGCTAATTCCATGAACATTTGTCTCTCACAAAGGGAATAAAGGTTGACACAGCAACATTTGTCTCTCACAAAAAGAACAAAGGTTGACAAACCAACATTAGTCTCTAACAAAGGGAGCATAGGTTGACAATGCAAACAGGTTATTAGGGTGACAATGCAAACAGAACAGTGTGGCAGCACTTCAGTTAATTTATAATAATGGAGTGGGTACCTGAGTGTGGCTGGCTGCAGAAAACAGCTGTGTTTTTAAAGATAGTTACACGGTTACTACAGTGATAAGTATACCACAGGATGGCAAAGCTCTTTTTGCTAATGCATGACAGAGTAGAGCAGAGAAGAGCAGAGCTGCATGTGCCAGGTTTATAGGTGATGATCAGGACATCTGTGTGTGTTCTTAGAGTTAGGAAGCTAACTCTAAGGAGGAATAGCACATGTGTGTGGTGAACCTGCACCAATCGGTACCCAGTTCAAGTCCGGGAGGCTGAGACCCAGGGAGCCCAACCTCAACTCTCTTTCCCATTTTTTCCACAGTGCTCTGGATATGAGAACCACCAAAACATACAGACTGATATCCTGCTGCAACTTAGATTCGGCTAGAGTCTGACATCGATTTTCACTCAGCATCAGACATACTGACAGAAAATCATCTCTTCCCACCTCCTCTGATGAAGGGAAAGGGTTGATTTTTTTCTCCTGCGTGTGGGGGGTGTGGGAGGAGCATGGCTCACCTCACTAGTTGGCTGGTTCTTCTTCTCTCATGGGCTTCATACCATGACTGAGAGATTGCTCCAAGTTTCTCAGTGCTACCTTTGGAACAGAGAAACACAATAAGTTTTTCCATGGGGAGAAATCTAAGTGGAGTCTTGAGTTGTTTTCTGGTGGAACAGAGCAACTTCCTTCCTGGGTGTAGGTGTTCTGGGGTGTCTAATCCAGCCTCAGAGAGAGGTTTCCTTTATGGTGGGTGGGTGGGGGAGGGAGCAGGGGGGGAATTAACGGGTTTGGGGGCTCCCCTAAGCCACTGACTGGCTTATCTCACCAGTCGATAATTCTCCCCCTCTGCTAGACCTAAACCTAATGCCCAAGGACCATGCCGTCGCCCTAACGCATTGCTCTCCAAATCCTCAAAAAAACATTCTGGCTCCAGACATGCCACTATAAATGATTTAGGTAGAATCTGATATTCATCAGTCATGGGCTCATCAGAACTAAGTGTCTGCAGCCCTCCATGGGAGGGTGGTAGCATAAGGGTCACACTAGGCTGTGCTGCAGCCGTTCTAGTGGTCAGTCCCTCTAGGAAGTACTGGCACTATTCCCTCCTGAACCTCAGTGGAGGATCTGATATCAGGCTGCTCAGTAACCCCAATCCCCTTCCAGTGTTGGTCCTCCTGTGGGGTAGGTAGTGGGCACAATGCAGACCCTTATATGAGCCTGAAGGGTCTATGCAGAGCCCAGGCTGAAGGTAAGGGTAGGGGGAAAAACCATCATTGGAGGCGCCATGGAGGGAGGGAAGCCCGACAGCAGGGATTCATTCCAGTGGCTGTGCCTCCTTTCCAGAGGGACCTTGGCAAGTGCTGGGAGACACCAGATGCTGACCCAGACCTATACACACACAACCCTGAGTTCCCCTACATACATCCAAAACAGAGACTACAGACAGCACTTTCCACTACCTCTTTCGTGTCCATGTTCATCATCAGACACAGCCACCACCGCAGGTGTCCTGACTTGGGACACCTGCTCTGGCACCCTTGGCAGCAGGCATAAGGGTGGTTACCTCCTCACCCGTCAGACAGACAGACAAGCAGATGGGGATGGGGCTGTAGGTTTCTCAAAGACCTGGCCCCAGGAAAAATTGCCTGTCTGTAAGTAGGTACAGTTCTTCATTCTGCACTTGCCACAGACAGGTGAACAAGTCCATCTGTCTGTGTGTGTGCCTCCCGTGCATGCCATCTGGTGCTCCCTGATGGTCTCCTTCCTTAGTTATGGCTTTACAGATCTCCTGAAACTTTGGCCTGTTCAGTGAGCAGGGCCCGGTTGGGGCAAGACGTCCCCCTCTCACACACACATGGGCTCTCCCAGGAACAGGCAGGGATACATATATATAGCCAAGAGAGAGCATCTCAGAGTGGTGTCCAGCAGCAGCCACCAGAGTTTGGAATGGAGTTTAGTGGCCTCCAGACTCCAAACGAAGCCTCAGCCCGACACAGGAAGCCCTGCATAATAGAGATATACCCCTCAATCTGAGCCAACAGATGATCTCTTCCTGCACTGATGGAACGCCACACCATGTGGTCACCTGCGAGAGAGAAATAGCCCTCACTACCATTTCATTGGTTTCCCTGTCTGCCACTCTTCTACCCAAATGAGACAGTGTCACCTGGTGGGTAAAGGGGACATTCACATCCCAAGAGGCACTTCCAGGGTTCAGGTGCTCTGACAACCCCAAGGAGAGCTTCCATGCCTTCCAACTTCTAGGGGCAAGAAGATAGCTACAGAAGGCAGCCCCTGCAGTGCAAGGAGGGCTGTGCTGTGCTGTGCTGTGCTGTGCTGTGCTGTGCTGTGCTGTATAGCCAGGCATGTCAGGCCAGGGCTGCTGGGCACTCTGGCTCCTCTTTGCAGGGCAGTGGTTAGCATCTCAGAGAACAAGTTGATTCTTATGGTATCATGAGTCATGAGAACCAGAGGAAACGTGGTGTGATCCTTGGATAAGATGGCATTCTGCACAGCTAATTCCATCCTCTTATGGGAGGAAAGAGAGATGGGGAGAAAACACTAGGCACTCATGTGAGTCCACAGGCAGCCCTAGGAAAATGCTGGCCCCAGAAAAGCTGGTGTGAGAGCACCTTCCCTCACTTCCACAAACTAAAGCCCTAATGCTGAGCCTAACCCTAAGCCTAGGCCTAAGCCTATGCCTAGCACTCCAAAGGGGGTGCCATCCTGACTCCCGTGCAGCCAATGATGCGACAGGTCCATCCTAGAATGAATGTGTCATGTGCCGTGTCTGTGATGTCTTTCTCTGCCTCTCTCTGTCTCCATCAAGTTCTGGATCTTTGGCTAGTGCTGGATTTCGAGCTGAGCCCTCTGGTGCCCAGAGGAAGGAATAGCCAATGGCATCAGAGTGAACTGGAAAGTGACAGAGTCTTTTAAAGAGAGAATCACAAAAGATATACAGTTCGAAACACTTTGACTTGAATCCTTCATTCATTTTCTATTGACTGACACCTGTATCCTCCTCCTTTTGTTGAGCAGGTTTTCACTTTTCTCATTCTGCTTTTCTCATGGGACTTGTACAGTAAGTCATTTTCTATTTTCCTGCATCAAATCCAGGGCACTAGTAAAATGAAGTGCTGGGCACAAGATAGACACTGTCACTTATGCCAAGCTACAACATGGGCCAGAGAGCAAAAAAGTGGCAAAGGGACTTAAGTGGGTTTGTGACTGACAGACACACAGAGGAATCCCAACAGCCGGATGGATGCATTCACAGTCCAGTGAGCTGAGCTGCACGGAGCTGAGCTGGGAGGAGCATGGCTGGGTGACCACTATTCTCTTATTTCAAAATCTCTGAAAGTGGCTGGCCAGCCCCGAGCCAGGAAAAGAAAAAAAAAATCACAAAGACTTTGAACACACAGTGAACCACCAAATGGAAAGATGTCCCACTAGGAAAGTTTTAGCTAGAGTCTGACACTGATTTGTGTGTGTGTGTTTTAATGTAAAGTGGGAGAACTGGGTGTGTGTGAGTGTTATAGTGTGAAGTTGGGGAATGGAGCCTGGGTGTGTTTCTAGGGTGAGACTGAGGAAGAGGGCATGTGTGAATTTTTAGAGTGAGTCTGGAGACTAAGACATGTGTGTGTCTCTTAGTGTGAAGTTGGGGGACGGGACATGTGTGTGTGTGTTTAGGGCGAGTTTGGGGAAGCAGGACACGTGTGTGTCTTTAAGGTGAGCCCAGACCCCTGTGTCATCTCGACACCATGGACTGTCACTTGGCGCACTGAAATGTGACCCTGAACACTAAAACCCTAATTTTCCCTAACCGTAAGCCTAACCCTAACTCTAACCTGCCTCAGGCAACTCCCTTGAGCCTAAGGAACACCCTAGTTCCACTCTACCCCACTTCTCTCTCTCCCCCTCCTTCTCTCTCTCTCTCTCTCTCTCTCTCTCTCTCTCTCTCTCTCTCTGTCTGTCTTTCTGGGTGTGTGTATTACAAATGACTATGACTCTGTGGGATTCAGTCTGTGTACATCCTTGTTATGCTGGGGTTCGTGCATCTTGAGAACTGCTTTTAAAATTGTAAAGACATGGCAGGAGGGCATACTGGTGATTTCTTAGGTTCTCTTGCTTCCTGATCCTTCCACCATATTTCACTTTTATTCTTCTCTCCTCTCTGTAACAAATGATAGAATTCCTCATGTTTTATATCCCATTATTAAGCAGAAGATACTTCAAATAAATTAAATCACTGCTGCCTCAGGGCTTGCTTCTGAGACTTCTTATGGTGTTCCAGCCATAGGCGTCTGAGAACCTTAGCTATTGGCTGATACTAATATTAAATTCCAGGGGTCCAATCTAGTTGTCCACTTTGGACAAACACATGGTTAAAATATGTCTAAGGATGAATTCAACCAGAGCTGAGATCCACAGCCAAATTTATTGGAAGAAAAAGAAAAAAACATTCAGTGTGCAGTTTGATTCATTGCCTGTCTCTATCCTTAGCAGTTTCTCCTGACATCATTAACATGTAATTTTAACAAAAAGCATGCAATAGAAATAAATGATACTGAACTGCTGACTTATGAGGTAGAACTTTTGTTGTTTGTCTCTGTAAGGGCAACTTCTTGTCTGTCATTTTTTTCCTTGACTGTTAATTTTGAATTTCTTTCCCTTTTATCTCTTTCTCTATCTTTACCAAAAGCATGAAATGGACCATTTTCTGGCTATTACTTCGTTCATGTGAAATCTATGGTTAGATGACAGCTACTCATTCTTCTCATGTGCCACAGTTAGGGAGGTAGGAGTCGATGGTAGAGAAGATTCTTAATCCCAGATAAACTTCCGGGAACCTGTGTGTCCATGAGAGTATGGGGCAGAATAAAGGCCCCAATTGCATTTCACAAAAGTGGAAGGCCAACTTTGCTCTCTGTGTTCTGTTATCCACTCAGAGATTTTTTTTTGAGCACTCTTATTTTTGTAAAAAATCCAGTCAAATTTAGCATGGCTATAATACTGTAAAAATACCTCCTTCTACACTTGTGCATGTCCTAATATGAGCAAAGCCTCTGAATTTTTTTCTGTGAATGGTCTTCTAGATAGCAGGTATGTATTTCAATCATAATTTCCTATGATTAATGGAAATTTCTTTTATATGTTCCAGGCCTATAAAGTATCACTTTACTGAAGTATCCCAATACTCATTTTAAAAATGTTGGATATTGAAGGTGCAATTAACTTTCTGTTCTTGTGACAACTAAATGTCCAATATTTTTAAATGCACATGTCCTCTATAAGTGTAGTTGAAATAAAATCAGTGCACCAAAACACATGATCACTGGACAAAGCTGATTTTCTTGTTTCTTGTTAAATTCTCTAGGAAGCCAACATATTTTCACTACCACCTATTACCTATAGCTTGTCCCATTTCCTCCTTCCATTCGTGGAAAGCACTAGTCTACTTTTTGATGCTATTGATTTGTCTACTCAGAATATATCCCATGAATGAGTCTATATGATTTCTGATAGTTTCTGTCTGGATTATTTCATGTTGGGCAATTTGTTCAAGTTTCACCCATAATGTAGCAGGTATCACCGTGGAAAATAATCTTACAGTCTCCTAGTATATTTGTCTTTTGTGGCATCAAATATCTCTGTTAGCAAAAATAGAAAATGAACCATATTCTACCATTTTCTAGTTACAATTTGTGGAATGGATACAATTTTTAATTGAAAATCTGGTTTTGGAAGAACCACCAGTAAGAATTGGTTTTCTACTTTGCCATTTAAGAGAAAAACAAGGACTGCTGGCTGGGTTTCCACATCTACTATGTGGATGTTGAGTTTCCACATCTACAATTCCATTGCCAGTGACTACTTCACCTTGTGGAACACTCTGCTTTGGCTGTGGAACAGAGAAGTATCTCTCTAAATATGACTGCCAGACACACAGCAAATTTGCTGCTATCACTGCAGAAATCATGGCAGCATTTTCAGCTGGATTGCAACACTTTGGAACTCTACAAATTTCTCCAGTATTTCCATGTTGGCAATGCTTTGTTGATTTATTCATTGTTTTTCTCAGTAATTACTGTCAGTGTTGAGACAAATTATCATCTCACTGCACTTTTTTTCCTAGAACATAAACTTATATCTGAACAAGTACAATGGCCTGATAAAAATCCCCTCAGGAGTACAAGGCCTCTTTTTTTTTTTTTTTTTTTTTTTTTTTTTTTTACTGCTTGGGAACATGCCTCTAAAGGAATGGGGCAAGAGAGAATAATATGGGGATGTCTCATTTAACATAATAAAGTGATACTGTAGTGACTGACACAAAGTTTCAAAAACAATAGAAAGGTAACCATTGTGATCCTCAATTCAATAGCTAGGTCATACAAACATGGCACATGGTGAGAAAAGAAGTCATGATCAGTTCCTAATAAAGGACCAAAATCTACCTGGTTTTTTTTTTTTGTCTTTTTCCTTTTTATTGGTACCAGGGATCGAACTCACGACTGCCTGCTTTACAAGGCAGGTGCTTATGCCACTGAGCTAAATCCCCAACCCCTCTACCTGTTTTTTTTAACCTGGAAATGTGTACATCACATTTACTCTGCCTATAATGTGTAAAAATCATAACCTGTGCTTCTCTCTTCCTCTTAGACTCCTCAATCAGTGTGTAGTCAGAGCTGTGGTCCGGGATTCAGAAAAATTCCTCAGGAAGGAAGATCAGTCTGTTGCTTTACCTGTGTTTCCTGCTCAGAGAGACACATTTCCAATCAGACAGGTAAATAATGGAGAATGTCACTGTGATAACTGTTCCCTCTAACAACTTCTCAGTGATGGGAAGCTGAGCCTATTGCCCAGGGGATCAGAGTGGAGCACTGTTTCCCACTCATCTACAGATTCATTCTTTCAGTACACCCATTTATAGTTACAGTCACCACGTACATATTCTTGTCCGGCAGTGCTGATTCTATTATCCTAAACTGAAGTGCTGATTTCCATCACCAGCTATGTTTATATCCACTGCTGAGAGAGACTGAGCAAATCTGAAATCTTACAGTGACCCAGGACGAAGGCCTATGAGTCAAAGCATGGGTATTTCTCAAAATTTCCTGTGGATGCTTGAAAGTCTCAAAACCAACTTTTCCCTTACAAATTTCAAGCATACAAATTTTTCCTTTTTTGCTGTATATTTGCAATATCTAACAATAATGTACATTTTAGGGACTTAAATGAATGGATAAAGTGGACAACCTGTTTTAGAACGGTTGCATTACATTGTGTGCCATGTCACTAATTTTGCACATAGTATTATTTTCATCATTAATGTGAACACTGTCAGTTATGTCAAATGGTATATGTAATGCAAGGGGGAACAAAGCTAACTTTCAGCTTTAACATTTGGAAATTTTAAACTTTAAAAATTAAAGCTTTAAAAACACACTGTTCTTAAGTAACAGAATTAAAATACAAATTGCTCTCCAAAGAGTTATAAGCCAGTAAGACAACTAAATTCAAAATGAAAATATTTTCAATTCATTTGTTCAATATTTATATGGAAAAACTGATAAAAAAAAGTCACAGAGAAATAAAAATATAAAATAGAAAATAAAAACAGAAACTGCTATAGATAATTATAAAACTTAGGTTGTCGAGTATGTCTGTGAGAATATTTAAATTTGAGAGCTGTAAGGAATATTACAAGAATCACCATATGAAAATTAAAATATAAGGCCATGAAACCATTGTCCAATCAGACAGGGTGATAGATTAGACAAATGATAAATGGATAACAATATAGCAATTATAATATTCAAGTTGTATCAGGATTACACAAATTTCCATCTGACTAGTAATGAGGGAAATATTTGAAATAGATTGTCTCACTGAATTTTGTGCCAATACAGAGCTTATTTTGAGGAACACTGCAGAGAGTATAAAGAAGCATTGAGAGGAGATCACAATCCTGGTGACCTCACTGAGTCAGAGGATGACATGACTTCTCACCCAATTCTGCTGAATATGGTGGAAACACCAATTGAATCATTTCATATGATATTTAGATAGTTAGAAAAGTTATTTATGCGTCAAGCATATAGAAATACCATTTGGTATACCTCAATCTGTATGTTAACCACTGTGTATTTGGAGTGATATCGCAAATGTAGTGAATTCTATCAACTTGATAAAACTGAAAATTTCTGAAAAAGAAATGCTGAATCTTTGCTTTTTCTCTAGATGCAAAACAATGCACAAGATGTGCAAAGCCTGAATACCCAAACAGAAACAGAGATCACTATCTCCCCAAGGTTATGGACTTCCTATTCTTTGAGAATTCCCTAAGGATGGCTCTGATCCACATAGCTCTGAGTTTTTCTGTCCTCCCAGCTTTGACCTTAGCAGTCTTGTTAAAGCACTGAGACACTCCCATTGTGCAGCTCAATAATCTGGTTCTCAGTACCACCTGCTAATCTTCCTCCTGTGCTTCCCCTGTGCCCTTTCCTTCATTGGCCATCCAACACAGCCACCTGTAACCTCCAGAAAATCACATTCAGATTTGTGTTCACTGTGGCTGTTTCCACTGTCTTGGTCAAAACCATTACTGTGCTGCTTGCATTTAAAATCACTGGTCCAGGCAGAAGAATGAAGCAGTTTCTGGTAACATGGGCATCAAATTCCATCATCCCCATTTGCTCCCTGATCCAACTCACTCTCTGCATCATCTGGATGGGGACAAATCTACGCTGAATTGACATAGACACAAACTCTGAGCATGGCTACATCATCACCATATGCAGAAAGAGATCCCTCACTGCCTTCTACTGTGTCCTGGGATACCTGGACTCCCTGACCCTGTTCATCTTTATGGTGGATTTCATGGTGAAGAACCTACCTGACCCATTCAATGCAGCCAAGTTCCTGACATTCAGCATGCTGGTGTTCTGCAGTATGTGGGTCACTCTCCACCTCATGTAGCACAGCAACAAGAAGATGATGGAGTCCATGGAGGTCTTCTCCATCTTGGCCTCCAGTGCAGGGCTGCTGGGCTGCATCTTCCTTTTTAAGTGCTGTATTATTCTCCTAAGATCTGAGAACAACTCTTTGTCAGGTTTGAAGACCAGGAAACATTAGGGGAATCAGACATTCTAAATATACTAACTGCATTTACTCTCTACCACACTAAAATTTCAGACTTGAAAATCACCTTCATTATTCACTTTGGTATTCCAAATCAAAATGAAATGTGTTTGTCTTAAAATATATCTTAATTCCTAATGTAATCATTGATTCAAATACACCAAACCCTACTGCCTAAAACTACATATAGCAGTGGTTTTGATGGTGAGTGTATTCCTTTCAAGTTATTAATTCTGAAATAATTTCTACATTTTTTCAACTATACAAATTCTCAATATCTGTACTTTGCAAAGTTTTTTAAAATCATGGTTTGTTTTCTGTTTCTTTTGTCTCTTTTAGCTCTGGTATGTATGTCAGATTTGATATTCTTATTAATATCACTATTTACTATACTTGTCCTCAAATATAATGGTTCCTCAAGTTAAATCTTTTACATAATTTTAGTGTGTGTCCACAAACCTCTTTAAGTCCTCCACCTCCTAAATCTAATTTTAACCTGGCCATCAAAAGTGTCAGATCATCGAGTCCCTAAGGCTGCCAAACAATTATTAAGTTGCATGTTGCCAGAAGAAAAACTGACTTCAGAGACACTCTCAAAATTCAACAAAATACCAAGATTTCTTGCTTCATAATGTCAAGATTATGAAAACCAAATACTAAATAATTTTTGCGGGTCACTACTAAAGGGATGTGGCCATTAGACCAAGACATGATCCTAGATTGGAACTTGGAACATAAAACATATAGAAGACAACACTGTGAAAATCAGTTACATAAGAATGTGGATTTTGTGTTAGATAATAGCGTAGGAAAGTGACAGATTTCCCAACTCTGGTAATTACTGCACAAAAATGATCTTTTATTATGAAATGCATACACCAGGTTGTTTTTTGAGAGGGGGCCCTAGTAGATGGTAGTAATATTCACATGATACTCTCAGAAGGCAAAACCAATTAATGGTACACATATGAGAATATAGAACTGTAAAGAAAAAGGGAAAAGTGAGTATTGGATAAATCTGACTCATGGATTGGTGAGTATCTGAGTTTGTATCTGAGTTTCTTCTTTAGAAATCTTACAGAATTCATAATTTCATTCAGAAATGTTATCAATAAATGTAAAGAGGAAATAAACCAGGCTTGATGGTGGTTGCCTGTAATCACGGCATCCAGGAGGCCGAGGCAGGAAGAACCTATGTTTGAGGAGAGCGAGGTACATAGGGAATTGCAGGCCAGCCTGGTCTACAGAGTGAGACCCTTGTCTAAAATGCCAAAAGGGGCTGTGGAGGAAACAAAAAGAACTAAGTATATAAACAGTCTAGCAACAAACTGAAATGAAATGCAGAGTCATTTAGATGCTAAACCACTTTCAAGGTTAGGAAGAACTGTAAAAGATGCCATTTCTCCCTACACAGAATCTAAGTCAGTATAGATGCAATCAGTAGCCACATTCCTCAGTATCCTTTCCAGGGCACCCATGCATCTGAAGTTGCCCAGACCATGGGTCCCAGACTGGAGGGGTGCAGTTGAAAAGGAGCAAAGCACTCACATGTGAAGCTGTTGAGACTTTCAAGCTCCCAACGCCAAGGATCCTAAACCCTCCCAGCAGCAGTCGTGTGTGCCCAGTATCAGAGCTGAGGCTCCATGGTGAAGGAGGACAGGCTGTGTCTAGCAATCTCTGTGACAAGGGCATGGCTGACAAGGAGAGGAGAGGCCCAGTGTGAGAAAAAAGTGGGGAGCAGGCAGCCATGGGGAAGACTGTTCTCAGGTCCCTTCCGCCTTTCCCTCTGTGCTCACCAAAGCCTCATGTGTCAGGAATTCTATTTCCTTGTGCACCCTTACTCAGCCTTCCAAGTGAAATGGAAGTTATGTGAGACCAGGGAACTTGGTCTTTTTCATTCAATTCTTAGCCACAACACATAAAACAGTGATTACGGAATGACTTGACAATATTTATTAAATGAATAATTCTGGCACACACACACACACACACACACACACACACACACACACACTGCACCTGGAGAATCATAGGAGAAAGTCACAATTTATACCTGGGCACAAGACTGAGAAACAGAATTAGGAATGAGGCTATTTTACTGCTGTGTACTGCTGATTCTTCCCTACATATTTATGTATTGCCCAGGGCATCTCCTCCAAAACAATCTCAATGTAAAACATAATTGGATGCTTCCCTACTGGATCCAGGAAAAAAGTTGTTGAGATGTCTAAATGATCCATTTTTGAAAGCAATTAAGAAGACTAAAAATGCACACACATACAGAGCCCTAAAAGCCTCCATCTTGTTCTAACAGACTGGGTGAATGAGGACTGATACAAAGTTTAGGGATTATTTCCATCATGCTATCTGATCAATCTTGGGTAGGTATGGCCAATTTCCACAATATCAACCACTAAGCCTCTGAATTCAACCCCGTCCCAGGCCCACCATGCTGACCACATTTACTACACATTAACCCAGAAAACCTGGTATCTGCCTACAGGGTGGTCCCAACCCACCCTTGGCTATGCCTCAGTCCATGCTCCCTGCCCAACACCCAGAACTATTCCTGCCCACACCTCAGTTCCTGCCTGCTAACTGTTCCCTACTCTGTCAACCACTTCCCACAAATCCATTGCTGGCCTGGCCCATGTGCTCTTCTCCCTGGTTACCCAGCGAAGGACTCTTCTTAAACTCCCAAAGTTTTTGGGAATTTCTCGTCCCCTGAGAATGCATGCTCAACCTGGAAGTGTAAGTGTATATCCTGTCATGGTGCTGCAAACATAGGTACGCATATATTGCTATGGCATGATGCTTTCAATTATTCTGGGAAAATGCACCGAAGTGGAATAGCTGGATTGAGTGGGATCTCTTGTCCTACTTTTTTGATGAATCTCCACACTACTTGTATCAGTCTATACTCCCACCAACAGTGGAGAAGGGTTCCTTTTTCCCCACAGCCCTCCAGCATTTGTTATTAGTTGATTTCTTATGGCAGCCATTCTTTCTGGAATGAGATGGGATTTTAATGTACTTTTAATTTGCATTTCCTGAGTGCCCAGTGATGATGAATATGTTTTCATGTATTTATTTGCCATTTGTATTACTTCATCTGGGCAGTGATTGTATATCTCTGATACCCATTTTTGGATTGGGTCTTTGAATATGGTAGCTTGATGTTTCTACATTCTTTATGTTCTATTTAGAAGTCCTTTGTCTGAGGGACTGCTGGCTAAAATTGTTTTCCACTCTGAGGATTTTCTTTTCACTTTGCTGGTGATTTTCTTGAAGTTTGAAATCTTTAATGAGATCCCAGTTGTTGATTCTTTGAAGTACTTCTTGTGCAGTTTGTGTTTTGCTCATGAACACTTTGCCTATTTCTATGTCTTCAGGGTTTCTACCTACCTTGTCATCCAGATTCTATTGTAATGTTTAATTTTTTATAGATTTTGACTTTAATTTAGTACATGGTGACAGACATAGCTCTAATTTTAGTCTTCAGCATGTAGAGAGCCAATTGTTCCAGCACCATTTATTAAGAAGGCTTTCTTCCAGTGAATATGTTTCACACTTTTGTCAAATATAAGGTGGCTGAGATTGTTTGTAGTTGTGTCAGCATCTTCTGTGGTGTTCCATTTATCCTCATGTCTATTTGGGTTTTTTTGTTTATTTGTTTGTTTCTTTGTCAGTGTCATGCTTATGTTATTATAGCAGCTTTGTAGTACAATTTCAGGCTGGGACTGTGATGTCTCCTTCTTTACCTTTATTGCCCAGGACTACCTTTGTTATTTTAGGTTTCTTCTGTTGCCAAATTAATTTAGATATGGTGTTTATAGATCTGTGAACTAGGCTAATTGTACTTTGATTGGGATTGCATTAAATCTGTATAACAGTTTTGGGAGTATGGCCATTTTAACTATGTAGTTCTTCCTATCAAAAAGTAAAGGATAGTTTTCCTATTTCTGGTATTTGCTTCAATATCCCTTTTTAGAGTGCTATCATTTTCATTGTGTTGATCCTTTACATCTTTTGATAGTTTGATTCCTAAGTATTTCATCTTTTTGGATGCTTCTGTGAAAGGTGTTGTTTCCATTATATCTTGCTCAGTCAGTTTGTTGTTTGTGTACAGGAATGCTCTTGAGTTTTGAATTGTTATATTCAGCTATGTTGCAGAATTTTCTCATTAGCTGTAATAGTATTTTGATGGAGTTTTGGAGATCTTCTATGTAGCTTAGCATATCATCTGCATATAATGATAATTTGACTTATTAATTTGATATTCTTATTCCTTTTTTTCTCTCTTTTGCCTAATTGCTATGGCTAACATTTTTTGAACCATATTCAATAGGTATGGTCATATTGGAGATCTTTGTCTTTTTCTTGACTTCAGAGTGAGACCTTTCAGTTTTTGTCTATTTAGAATAATGTTGTCTCTTGGTTTGTCATAAGTGGCTTTTAGCTGAATGAGGCAAAGTCAATCTATTCCAATATTCTGTAGGATTTTTCTTATGAATAAGAGTTGCACTTTATCAAAAGCTTTTTCTGCACCTATTGAAATGATCATGTGATTTTTATCTTTGATTCTGTTGATATTGTGTATCACATTTATAGATTTGCATATGTGGAACCAGCTCTGCATTCCTGGGATGAATCCCACTTGGTCATGTTGTTTAACCTTGATGATCTGCTGCATTCTGCTCACTAGTACTGAGAAGTTTTGCAACAATGTTCATTAGGAAGATTTGCCTATAGTTTACATTTTGGTTTAGTCTTTCCTTGGATTTCACATCAGAGTAATACTTGCTTCCACAAATGAGTTAGACATAAATGCTTCCCTTTCCATTTCATCAAAAAATTTTAAGAGTATTTTCATTGAATCTTTTCTACGTTTCTTATAGAATTCAGCTATGGGTCCATTGGGATCTGAGCTTTTCTTTTTTTGGTAAATTT